ATTTTAGGTATCTTGTACTTATTTGACGCATCACTCAATCTATTGATGGGCAAATTCCAGCTGATGAAATGGGACTTGGGAAAACTCTGAGCATAATCTCTCTCATAGTCAATGCAAAGTTGGAACGAAGACGACGAAGGAAAGAAGGAACTGATGAAGTGGACAAAGAAAGGAGGAAGCAGATCAAGGCTAGAGGGTGAATTTTATATCAGGAAGGACATTTGCTGCTGCAATTTTGTTTGTTATTTCTAGGCTCGTGCCATCAAATGCTACTCTGATTGTGGCACCAGCAGCGCTGATTTACCATTGGGAAGCAGAAATCAATGAACGATGTGAAGATAATCTTCTGGACACCATCGTATACCATTCCGCTTCGAGAAAGAAGATTGGGATCGAAACGTAGGTTGTGAGAATGAACTGCCATACCATCCCAACAATGCATGTACAATTTTAGCTTAAAACATGCTGATGTTATTATCACCACTTACACGACATTAGCAAGCGAAATTGAAGGAGACAATAAGGTAAGTTTTTGTTGCTGAAAACGTCAAGATTCGCTCTCATTGTCTTTTCAGCATGAAAGGGTCCGTGTTCGAAGTCCCTCTCAGGTAAACTTTGTAAACTGACATCTGACAGAAACGCGATATACGAAAGTTTCCAGAAAACAAGCGTTTTAGAAGAGATTTATTGGGCAAGGATTGTACTGGACGAGGCGCACCAAATCAAAAACAAGGCTACGAAATCTTCAAGGGTGAGTTATAGCATTTGAGTTCGAGATATCGGGCCATTTTGCTGTTCTGTACACATGTGCGCGCTCTGTAGGATTAGAAGAATGTTGCCGAGATTTTCGTTTCAAGATTGTACGTGCTCCATTTTTATATGCAGTGCTTGTAGAGAGTACTGCCATTTCTCTACAACCGTTCAGTGCCGGTAGTGGGTCAGGGGAATATTCGGGAGAGGGAGGGAGGGGAGGGGGAGCTAAGGTAACTTTCTAAAAATAT